AAACTTTGGCACTTGGAACCCACAGCTGCTCTGTGACTGTTGACTTCATCACATCATGGTAAAGATGAATATGACCTAAGTCACCTCTTGCTGGGGAGCCCTAGTGGCCCAGTGGTTAAATGCTTGGCTGCTCACGGAAAGTTTGACAGTTAAAGCCCACCAGGCGCCCTGTGGAACAAAGAGGTGGCAATCTGCTTCCATAAAGATTATAGCCTTAGGAACACTATGCGGCACTTCCACTCTGTACTACAGGGTCACTGTGAGTCAAAGTCCACTTGACAGCAACCAGTATCTGTTTCTGCATTGCAGAAAAGTTAACTCTGCAGAGTAACAAACTGTCCTGAAGCAGAAAGGCCTAAAACAATGACGGCTTCTGTAGCTCATCATCTGTGGGTTAGCAATCTGAGCTAGGTCCAGGTATAGAGCCGGGTGTAGGTCTGCTTGCAGGAGTCCCCTAAAAGCCTTGTGGGTTCTCTATGTATTAGGTTCAACAATAGCCTCCCCCACTTTTTCTAAGACATGTCTCCCTTTTAGACTGACAGGAATTTTAGCATTAGGCCTGTGTGGATTACATCTGAAAGATTTCTGAGAAGTCGTTTTATCTAGTTGAAGGACCTACTAGACAACACCTTAGATGTCTCAGACATCTTAGCAATGTGTGTGTGTGTTTCACTTTTCGTTGTAGTTTAGGTGAACTCTGCAGAGCAAATCAGTTTTCCATCAAACAGTCCATACACGTTTTCTTCATAACGTTGATGGCAGTGTAACACCCTTACCCCACTTCCTCCGTGTTCTCTATTTCCTTTTGTCCTTCTTTCCTATCTCTTCCTGCTTTCCGAATTTCATCCCTGGGCAGATGCTGTCCTTTTGAAGTCATACAGCTCACTGTTCTAAGGAGCGTGTGCCTTACTGGTGTGATTGTTCACTTTATAGACTTGTCCATCTTTTGGTTGAAAGTTGAGCCATGGGGATGAGTTCAGTTTCAGGCTTGAAGGGTGTCTAAGGGCTATAGGCTTGGGGTTTCTGCCAATCTATATCTGACAGCTGAGCCTCTTTTTTTTTTTTTTTTAATGATCTTGAGTTTTATTCCACACGTTTCTCCCACTCTATCTAGAACCTTCTAATGTGATCTCTTTCACAGCTGTCAGTCATGGTAGCTGGGCACCAATCTAGCTCTTCTGGTTTCAGGGTGTGGAGGCTGAGGTTTGGGGGATCCATTAGTCCTCTGGACTAATTGTTTGATTTTCTTCATTCTTCCTTGCTCCAGACATGGGGAGACCAGTAGTTGCCCCTTTGATGGCTGCTCACAAGCTTTTAAGGTCCCCATTGCTACTCACCACAGTAGGAAGTCCACTGTCTTTGTCGATTGTCATACCAGCTGACCTTGATGTCCCTGAGACCATGGTCCTGAGACCATGGTCCTGAGACCAGTGGGGTTTGTAGTCACAACTTTTATTTTGTTTTCGTCCTTGTTTCACTTTGAGAGTTGTTCACCAACTGGGGCTTCTGGGAATGAGAAACTATTCTCTTTTTCCAGCCCTGCAAGTCATAGCCCCTCAAACCCTCAAATTCTACTTGCCAAAGGTACCATTCCTCAGTAACTTGTGTCTCCTACTGCCTTATAAGCAGACCCCAGCAGCCCACTGACACTGTCAACAGTTTGCCCAGAAGTCATAGTCAACATAGCAATTAAACCTCCAGTTCTCTTCCATCAAATTGAATCTTTCTTGACCTTCTTCTTTATGATAGGAAGATAGTCATACTCTAACATCCTCATTGATGTCCCAAGTCCTAACTTCTGTTGCATTCTCAAGGGTGTAAATAATTATATTCTGTCCTGCAAGCACAGCTGATGTTTTCTGGCTTTGTTCTACAGTTTGGCTCCACAAGTAAATAAATACATAAAATGGTTAGTTAATCAATTTACAGTATTGCAATTAAATAGCTGTGTTCCATTCAAAGTCCAACCCCTAGGGTAATGCTACTTGTATCATCCTCAATCAAATATTTTACTCATCTCTAATTGCTTAAAATGCTGTCGCTCGCTAGTTGGACCAGGTCTGTCTTACACAACTTTGTCTGCTTGTGTTTCTTTTGTTTTTCATTTTTCTGAAATCATTTTCAAATCCTTAATTGTACTTGTCCATTTCTGTCATTAAGTCTTTCATTTATTCATTTTCCTGGAAGCATCTTCAAAGCTCTCACTTCCTGATCCATTTTTTCTTGGTGGATCCTCTCCAGATATAATGCCCTAACTTTGCATCACTGTTCTGCTGGTTTGCATTCACAGTTTCCTGAATTAAGTGTTCTCTTCTTTCCTGCTTTACAGTCTGTCTTTGCTGGAGTATATCCTAAAATACTATCTCAATAAAGGCTATTTCTGGTTTCTTTGATGTTTCAGATTCTGATTTTGCCCTCAAAGTTGATGATAGTTTGTCAAGTTGTTAGGTGGTAGTTGTTGGGTTGGTAGGTGAGTGTTGTTGTTAGGTGCCATTGAGTTGGGTCTGATGCATAGTGATGCCATGTAGAGCAGAATGAAACACTGTCCAATCCTGTACAGTTAAAAAAAAAAAAAAAAAACTCACTGCCATTGAGTTGGTTCCGACACATAACGACCCCTCCTTGGGCTTCTGAGGTGGTATCTCTACAGAAGTAGATTGCTCACATCCTGTACAATAGTAGTTTGAAATATGTTTCCCTCAGAATTTTAAGGACATTTTCTATTATCTTCTAAAATCTGATGGTGTGAAAGAAAGGAGTCATTTCAGTCTGACCTGAAGGATTTTATAGTATCCTTGTGTTTTCTTTTTGGAATTTGCTATGGCACCTCTGTGGTCCTTGATGTTCAGTTATTTTCTAACAGTATCTGGACGTATTTTACTGTTGATTCTGTAGAAAACTCTGCAGGCCTTTTCAGTCCAAAGATTCATGTTCTCCATTGCTTCTGAGAAATTGGCCCCTCTCTTCCTTTCTCTGCATAAAGAGAGATGGGAGAAAAGGAGAAGGGGGAGGGAGGGAGAGATCAAGGTCTCTCCTCACCTTATTTACATACCCTTGATACCTTTTGTAAGTGGGCTCTCAGCCAATATGGATTGGCCCTCCATGTCTTTTGTTGATTTCTCTCATATTGTCTGTCTTTTCCACTTCCTCCGCCCACCTCACATTTTAGATGACTTCCTTAACTTTGTTTTCCAAATCGGTTGAGTTTTTATTTCTGTAATCTGTGGGTACCCCAGGAGCATGACTGTGGTCTGAGTTGCTCTCTTGTTTTCTGTCAACCTGGTACATGATACTGTCCATGCTCTTGGGTCTTCATGTTGTTATCCTTTATTTCCAGTTCTGTTCAGTCCCTTCTTGGGTGACTCCTTCTCTCTGCTCTTCAACTGCCACTTCTGCTCATTTTTGCGTTGTATACCAGGACTGCTCTTTCCTGTTTAGGAAATGGACTCGGGCCTGGGCGCCTTTGGTGTGGGACAGTTATGGCCAGAGCCTCTTGAGATTCCATTAAGCCAAAAGACCTTGATGCCTCTTCAAGGTTCTCTGCATAACTTGATCCCCTCTGCTTCTCACCTTCTGGAAACCTGTGAGGATCTCTCAAATGACCCCTTCCTGCTCCACTCATCTCTTGGTACTTCAGGGTCTCCAAAGGGATGGGAGAGGAACACATGCCCCTCACTGTCATCTGGAAGCAGAGTCTGTGCCTTTCTTTTTGGGATTGCTTGACTATTGGCCTCCCCCTGACTGCTTGTACTCACTGTGTGTCTCCAAGCACTGGGCACTGGGCCTGGCCCAACCCCAACATCCTATTTCTGAAAACACCTGGTGTGTAGTCTTTGGCTGGGTTCACTATCCTCTGTGTCCTGAGATGTTTACGATGCTACCACTGTGCCAGGGTGTCATGCAGAGCCCGAGGGCTCCTGACATGGGCGGGAGGCCAGTGCTGGTGTCTTTGAGGTGAAGAGAGCACTTCCTTCTTAGCAGGAACCAGGCAGGGAGTCCAACTGCCTGATGTCCTTGGAGCTGAGAAGAGTTTCACCAGGTCCTCAAGGTCAACCCTCCAGAAGCCCCTTTGCTTGGCTGCTCTGCCGACCCCTCATTCCTTTTTATCTCTAGTGTGCTGGGTTCTGGATAGCGGATGCGTTTGGCAGGCCCAGAAAGTACAAGCCTGGCTCGCTTCCTGTGGTGTTCTGAGCAATGTGGCTGACTCCCAAACTTGTTTCCATTGTTGGACCGCTTGTCAAAATCTGCACAAAGCCTTCTTTCAAGGCAATAAATATATAAACAGATAATAAGGGAACATGTGCTTTATTGGACATGCCTGTATCTTTAAGAGATAAGATGCATGTTGACATTTAATTCTCATTGTTATTCTGGGTGTTGCTATAAATGTCTGTAGTGCAGGCCCTTATCTTTTGTTCTCTTATCAGCAAACCATTTATGGACTGTTGTTTGTTTATTTACTTTTTCATGTCAGATAATAGCTGCATTCAAGTGCAAGGCCTAGAATTTCATTTCAAAAAGGCAGTCAAACCAAAAAACCAAATTCACTGCCAGAGTCAGATCTGACTCATGGTGACCCCTCCTTGACTTTCCAAGTCACCATGGAAGTAGATTGCCCAACCTTCCTTCTGAGGAGTGGCTGGTGCATTTGAACCGCAGTGGCAGATACTATTTCTGCCACTGGCTGGCAGTCGAAGGGCTCTGTCCCTTGAACAACATGGGCCTCTACCCCCGTCATGGATGGGATTCTGCAGTCCCTACAGACTGTCTTTGGGAGCAGTGTTCTGCTTGGGTTGTGAGAGCAGTAAAGCCTGCATGTTGCTTGGGGCTTTGTGTTGATGCTCTCAAGTCTAGCCATGTGTGAGGCTCTGTCTGGGACACCCAGTATCAGGGGAAGCTGGCACATTCTTCTGTGAGGGGAAGTGGCATGTGGCGGCATGTGCAGGGGACCTAGTGACCAGAATGTCAGATGGCTCTCCCTCGGAGGGTGCTTGGGAAAGGGCTCTGGGCCCTGCAGTGCTGAGTGTGAGCCCTGGTCCCAGTTGCGGGTGGGGGTGGAGCATGGGAACATCATCGGAGCATCTTTGCAACCCTCCCAGGTGGGAGCCTGCCTGGTCGTGCTGCTCCTTCTCAAGATGGGGAGCTGCATCCAGAAAGGGAGTCCCCACAGACTCCTGGTACAATGAACACCCGAGATAGTGCACCCCAGGAAAGCTCAGAACAGAGGCCGATTTCACTTTTAGAAAGCCTCTCCCTGGGAGGAGGCCTTTCCCCTTCCGTCGTCATGGCGGCAGATGAAATGGATCCTCTCCTCGACCTTCTGTTCTCCTCCAGCCCCAGCAGACACCCAGCAACTGGCTCCGTGCTGGCCTCGGGGCAATTTCTGGAGAGTCTTCACCCCAGAGAGCACCGCTGCCCAGAGTGCTGCGTTCTCCACCAGAGCCGTTTGCTGACGAAAGCTCTGTGTCCCCAGAGAATCCCTAACAATCATGTGGTCGAGGGAAAAGAACCAATTTGACTAGCTTACAACAGAATCAGTAATTTCTACTCAGCTGACCCCTTCACTCAAACAAACTCATTGCCATTAAGTCGATTCTGGCTTACAGTGACTCTGTAGGACAGAAAAGAACTGCCCCCCTAGTTTTCCAAGTTTTCTTTATGGAAGCAGACTGCCTCATCTTTCTCCCATGGGGCACTGGTGGGTTCAAACTGCCAACCTTTTGTTTAGCAGCTGAATGCTCTAAATATTGTGTTTCCTGGGGTCCTTTACTCAAGTAAAGCCACTGAAAACAGTAACAGGACACCACCTTTGCTATTGGGAATCCCAACCCCAGTCTTCTCTAGGTCTGGAGGAAGGCCACTCATGTTCTTAGTTTTTTTGGGGGCCTCTTCCTTTTCCCCTTTAACATCTCTGATTAAATCCATGGAACCTCCCTAACTCAGTACCATTTCTTTAATGCCTGTTAAGTGTGCCTGCGGAAAATGCAGTGTTGTCCTCATTGCTCCCCTAACTCTCAACACTCTCAAAGATGGAGAGGCAAGAGCCCACGTGTCCCCACACAACATTGGCTTCAGCCGAGTGTGGTTTGGTGGCACGTTCAATTCTCCAATCATTCAGTTAGATTTACTGCACATCTGATTTGTGTCAGACACCAAGGATGTAGAACTAAATGATACATGGCCCCTGGCCTTGCCAAGCACATGGTTTGGCCGATAATGACAAACACCACCCCACAAATCCACCAACAGGGCCCCTTCCAATGTGCCTCAGAGATGCACATTTCTTTTGTAGAATGTAAAAACCTTTTTAAAAATACTATGCAAAATGGTGAATTTGATTAATCCATCTGCAATTTTACTTAATTGGGTACAGTGCAACTAAAGTATTAGACTAATAGATGTAGTCATTTATTTTCATTCATTCCTTTATGCATTCATTCATTTCCACGTATATTCATGAAGCATCTACTCTATGTACCAAGACAATGAATAAGGTGGAGTGAAGAGGAATTGACACCTTTCGATCATAGCATTGGTGAAGACTATTGAAGCTCCCTTGGACTGCCAGAAGAACAAACACATCTGTCTTGGAAAAAATGCAGCCAGAGTGCTCCTTAGAAGGGAGGACCAAGAGAGACTTTGTGTCACATACTCTGGACAGGTTATCAGGAGGGACTACTCCCTGGACAAGGACATCATGCTCGGTTCAGTAGAGGGTCAGTGGAAAAGAGGGAGCCCCTCTGCAAGATGGATGGGCCCAGTGGCTGCAACCATGGGCTCAAACATAGCAACGATCGTGTGGGTGGTGCAGGACCAGGCAGGGTTTCATTCCACTGTACAAAGGGTCTGGCTCAACAGAACCTATTTTTGGTGATTGAAATATATTGAGAAACAAAATAAAATGAGTAGCAAGCAAACAAAAGATGCAGTAAATAGGTGGATTATTTATGTGTTTGAAAGTGATAGCATCAGGGAGAACAGAAATTGTAGATAAGAAAAGGAAGATTGGGAGGGCAGAGGGAGTGGTTACAATCTAAGGAGAAGGTTGAGGAGATGACCTTTTGAGCAAAGATTGAAGAAGCTGAGGGCTTTCTCTGTGTGGATGTCTTGGGGAAGAACATTCTGGTGGAACAACTGAGTCAAGAGGATGCCTGACAAGCCCATGGAGCAGCAAGGAGGCAGTTTGATTAAAGCCACATAAGGGAAGGAAGTGGAGGTCAGACAGACAGTGGGAGCAGGTCACGGGGGTGTTTATGAGACCTACTGCATGTAGGGGCCATCTGCAGCACACCAGATCTCACTAATGGGTGCCATAGGGCAGCCTGGTCTTGGGGTGACTCTTGAATAGGATTGTCCTCACTTTCCCCAAACAACACTCCCTTCTCAGTGAACTTCCTCTACAACCTGTCACTGTCTAGTCAGTTCTGCCCATAGCAGAGTAGAACTGCCCCATGGGGTTTGCAAGGCTGTAATTATCACAGAAGTAGAGGGCCACATCCTTCTCCCATGGAGCAGCTGGCATGGCCACACTAACAACCTTTTGGTTAGCAACTGAGCACTCAGCCACTGCCTCATCAAGGCTCCTGACTTCCTCCAAGGGCTGCCTTTTTCCTTTTGCCCTTTGGAGTGAGGTCAGAGCCATGACTCTTCCTCCCATATGATAGGCCTCTGGCTAGTCTGAAGCCACTCTCTCAATCCCTTTGAGTAGACCATCCCCAAGCCCCTTCAAGGCTATTAAAGGGCTGTAATAATTTTGCTCCACCGAGTTCATATTTCATTTCACTATTTTAACAATTTGCTGAGCCTTACAGCTAGTGATAAATTGCAAAATATTATTTGTAATAGCAGTCACTCGTGACATGGCATTAGTCAAATTGGCTTTTATCTCACTTGGGAAGTGCGTTTTCTACAGTGTACTTAAGAGGTGGCACTGGGTGTCAGACCCAATGGGTCGGAATGACTGAAAAAGGAAAGAAAACAAGGCTACCTGGTCATGTGCCTCCAAGAATTTCTAAGGAGTGAAGTGAGTTCTTCAAGGGTTAGCAGAGATGAAAATGAGGCACGCTCTCTTCACAGAAATATATATTTGATAGTTGAAAATTTATGTTTTAATGTCACATTAAATATGGATTAGCAAGTTAAATATTAAAAAAAGTGCTGAATAGGGACAATATCTGGAGGCAAAATGTGTAATGAACTGTAAGGATGAGAGAGAAAAAATTACAAAAGACAAGACTCAGAGATTCAAATGCAAGATGTAAATTCTTTTACATTAACTGTTTAAAAAATGTTCAAATTCCTATGATTAAGAAAATATGATATCTGTCTTAGTTACCAGGTTTTTCCATATAAAGTGCCCATAAATGATGAGCACACACATATAAAGCACATAGAATGCAAAAGAAACTAACTCACAAGGATGCTGCACCATTTAAAAAAAAAACATAGACTGCACCTATTGTGTTAAATATGGTACCTAGTGCTGGTGTCACAAAAAGACCACAGTGGATGGTTCAAACACAGAAGAACCTGGGCAGTCTTCATGTGGCATGGCGTCTCTCTAGTCCATTTCTGCTTGTTTAATCTCTTTTATATCTCAGAAGAGATTGACTCAAGATACACCCTACACTAATCCTGCCTCATTAACACAACAAGGACAACCCCTTCCCAAATCGGGCTTACAGCCACAAGCATGGAGGTTAGGATTTACCTCCTCATCTACTTTGGGGGTCACAATTCAATACGTAAAAGCATGGATGTCCTACAAAGGATACTTATATTTGTATCTGTCTTTACATTGTTTATCAACACACACACATATGAATATTGTAAAGATAATACCTATGGATGAAGGGGTCAAGAAAGAGGAAACAAATTAGTTAATGAAAATATGGAACATGCACAACTTCAGCAGCAGCCAAAGGATTGTAAGTGGAAATGAGGACATCTCAGTATTTCACTACTTAATATACATTTCCTTCCTTGTTTCCCTCCCTCCCCCCTCCTTCCTCTCGCCTCCCTCCCTCTCCCCTCTGTCCTTTCCTTCCTTTCACTGAAATACAGACAAACAGTTGCCTTGTTGGTCACTCTGCCTCCTGGCACCCCATGTGTCAGAGCAGAACTGGGCTCCACAGGTCTTCAGATGATGACTTTTCAGAAGTAGAGTGCCAGGCCTTTCTTCTGAGGTGTCTCTGGGTGGACTTAAACCCCCACCATTTCAGTCAGTGGTGAGTGCGTTGACTGCACCACCCAGGACTCCCCTTGTAGTGGTGACTCTGTAATTTTTTACCACAATTGCTGCACCCCTAGAGAGGATGATAGGATCTGCCTTTAGGGGTGTGGTGGGATGGATAGATGCAGGTGAGCACATGGGTGGCACACAGTAGGTGTTTTGTAAGCCGTCATTTTTGGCTGACTATACTGTTAATTTCCTGATGACAAAGTTCTATGATCACAGATTAGGAGCCTTGCGGGGTCAGAGCTGAAAGTGGTGGCTCATTGCTGTCAGAGCTGCTTAGTGTCATGTGTGCTGAAATGAAAGTCACCTGCAGCAGACAGCCCCTCATGAGACTTCTCAGGGGTATGCTTTGCTGCCAGGGCAGTCGGTCTAGACCTGATGGCTGCTCCAGGTCCTCGTATGCACAAACAGCCGATTGGCAGTGTCAACCTGTGTAGGGTCTCGGCCAGAGTCCAGTCTCGCCTCCCTGCAGCCACCAGTGGTCCTTGGGGTCCCTTGTGACCTCTTCTATGGCGTACATGAACATTCGTAGCCCACCTTCCCACCAGCATCAAGAGCACTGCCCCTCACAGAGGTCGATGCCACAATGCTGTGGGAGCTGGGTGCACAGAGTGAAGGCAGCAGCCTGTCAGCCTGCAGTCTTGTGGAGCCCACATGTGGGATGATCTTGAGGTCCATTTAGGGGCTGCCTGGGTGCTGCCCTGGGAGCCTGCAGTGGGAGAGGAGCTGCATCCAGCAGACATGGTGAGGATGGTCCCTCAGTCCCAAGCTCACCACCCATGGAGTGGGGCTGTCCCTGACCTCATCCCTAGCAAAAGGCTGTGTCCAACATAGGCACCCTTGATTGTGAGGGTCTATGGTTTGGTGAGGTGTCATCCTGGGAAAGATGTGTCCATCTTTGCATGCAAATCTCTTGTCTTGTCCCATGTCCTCAGCAGTAGGAGAAGCTGCTGCAGATGCAGACTGGCCCAGACTCAGCTTCTGCAGTAGCTCCCTAGGAGGGCAGTGTGTCGCAGAGAGGCAGCAGGGAGAAGCTAGGAGTTGAGGAAGGAGGGCTGTGGGGAAGCTGGTCACAGGGCTATGCACAGTGGATGGTAGGACAGTTACAAACATGGCATGCACTTCTTGAAGCTGCTCAACAACAGAGATGCACAGACAGCAATCATTGAAAATCCCTTCTGTGCCCTTCCTGAACTTCCTGTTTGGTGAAGTTGAAAGTCATTGTAAATAACAGAAATCCTCCATGAGATGGATCGACATGGTGGCCACAGCCAGGGGCTCAAGTTGACCAAGGATCATGAAGATGGAGCAGGACCAGGCTTCATTCTAGTGCATGGGGATCACTAGCAGTCGACGACAGCTGATACCCCAACCTGAACTCAAATGGGGCTGAGACCACACAGCAGCCAAGACTGATCATCAATTCAGAGTGCATTGTTCCAAACAACTAACAATGACTTTGAAATAAAGATGAGAAGGTAGGGGCCAGGGAAGCTAGATGAACAGAAACAGGACAACCTGAGGGCTAATCACAGGCAAGGCTCACACGTTGTGAAAAATGGAACCAATGTTGTGGGATAGCTTGTGTAGAGACTGTTGACTGGGAACCTAATTGCTTGAAACCTTCACTGAAAACAGTATAATACGGCAGTTTCTAGAGAAAGGTGGCTTGTCCTGTCTGAGGTTTAACTGAGCAGCTGCTCCATCAGTGACAGTTCCTTCACTATTGAATGACCACTGCTAGCATTAACATTGTTATAGTTGATGGTCTGTACTGGAGGACATGGGTCTCCAAGTAAGAATGGAGAACTGTTCAATGCCTTTGCTTATGAGTGGAGAAACACATACTGTTAGAAGACCATGTGTGATGGACTCAGCTCGCTCGCAACTGGAAGGGCTGGGCATTGGGCATAGGTCATCCAGGACTACTGGGGGGTCCTTGGTTCAGAGAAACATCGGAGCTCATTGTCAAAGGCGGCAGAAGACACATGACCATCCTTGTGAAGGGCAGTGGAAAGAAGCGGAGATTGCCATAAAATCTGGTTGGATTAATTGAAAGTCAACCTTGGACTCAGCTGAGCGCACACAGGCTTTTTGCTCATTCAGCTTTGGCTACGGACTACCCCAAGGTATCAGGGCGATTTGGGATTTCATTTACCTTGGAGAATTGGCAGCTGGCCCTTGTGTTACTGGCTTTTATGCTTCACATTTTGTAGTCTTTACTATTACTCTTCACTTAGAAGAAGGACTGTTGACTAGCCTGGCAGCCACAGGAGTGTTAGGAAGAGGGCTGTTGACTGGCCTGGTGGCCACATGAGTGTTAGAATAGGCCAGCTGATGTTGTCAGGTGACGGTGGGACAAATCCAAGGGTTGCCATGCCTTGCTCTTCTTCAAGACTTTGATGTTAATCAAAGGCATTTAACTTCCTCCCAAATCCTATGTTTGGAAGAAAATTTAAAAATCAGAATGGAAGCAGCCACAAAGTCTTTGTCTGTCTTTGTCATCTCTGAGGCTGGGAAGTGGCCCCCGGCTAGCTGTGCAACCAGTGTGGCCCAGAAGTTAGACCCGGAAGACGGACTCCCGAGAGCATGGCGGGTGCCCCTCCTGGAGTCTGAGGTGCTTGCGGATGTGGTCGCTGGCTGCCCAGGGTGGCCCTGTGACAGGGAGCGGAGCACTTGGCCCACAGGCCTTCCTTGGCTGGTTGTGGAAACCGGTCTCCAGGCCTTTCTTCCCAGTGAGTCTTCCTGTGGAGGCTCTGCTGCGGCTGCTCAGCCTCCACTGATGGACCGGGCCTGCACGTGGAGAGCATTGGTGGGGACTGAGCCCTGGAGTCCTGCGTGGGTGGCAGGAATCCCACCCCTGAGCCTCCGCTGCCCTTTCATGCAGACACTGTCCGGGCTGAGATTGCTGGGATGGCGAGGGACGGGGGCAGGGCAGGGAGGTGGTGGTAAGGAGGGATGAGCCGATCAGGCCACGGTGCTGGGCAGTAAGAGCTGGAGTGACGCAGGGGCAGAGGCTGGGACAGGGGAGACAGGGCATGGACGGAGGGAAGAAGAGCCGCAGCCTGACACCCGTGTACTGAACACTGACCACAAAGATGACCCTGTTCACGTTCAGATGCTCGTGCTGGCCCCATCCCATGAGAAGGGCTTCCCTTTCCTGTTTAAAAGTGAGAGAGACAGGACGTTTATCTAAGTAAGTAATACTGCAATCACTGTGCCGGTAATCTTTCTACAGGAAAGAAACGGGCGTCTTTGGCTCTTTGCACACATCCATGGCCGCCCAGCTATTCCATCTTCAGTGGCCATTCCGTGACACAACTGGCTTGACCAGTGTTAGAGACTTGCCTTGCCCGGGGTGCTTGGCTGTGTCCACAGTTGGTGTATTTATGAATGCAGGGTGCCTTGCCAAGCAAGGGTGCTTGGCTGTGCTCACAGACAAGGTGTTCATGAATGGAAGGGTGCCCTAGTGATTGGCTCTCAGCATCTGAGTCCTCCTGGGATTCTCCAGGAGGTGTGGGGGTGAGTGTGTGCTCTCTGTCCTCTCCAGCCTGACGCCCTGACAGCAGGAAGGCCCATGGCCACCTGGCATCAACAGGACCTGGAAGGCACAGTCTGGAAGCTCCCAGCGGGCATGGCCCTGGGTGGGAGTTGGGCTGAGACCAGCCTTTGATGTTTTTAACCTTGGAGATAAACTCTCTATTAGAGAAAGACCCTCCTGTGACCCGTGGCCAGGCCCCACTGAAAGTTCTGGAGCTCAGAGCTCAGAATGGTGTGCTGCTCTCCCCCAGGGCTTGTGAGGGGAGGGCCAGATACTGTTGTCCAATTGCTGTTGTGAAGAGGCCACAGGCAGTGATGGACAAACCACAGGAAGTGGGGGGAGAGGGGGAGAGAGAGAGGGAGAGGGACAGAGCGACAGAGCAGAGGGGAGTGGGAAGGCGCAGAGACAGAGACAGAGAGGAAGCCAGCGTCTCCTGGGCCCAGGGCCCCCAGCCCCAGAGCAGTGTTCTCCTGTTGCTGAGGCCAGGATGGATGGGGACATAGGCAGGCATCTGAACTTCTCCCTTGTGCTTTTGGTTTTCCATCGGAAGCAGGAAGCCTTGGTGTCCTACCAGTTTTACACAAACATTAAGACCTAGCTCCGTATATGTCCATCTGCCCCCAGGGGAGAGCAGGATTCCTCTTGTTCAAAAGAAGCCCTGAATTGTTGGGTGGGTTTTCACCAGGGCTTTGAACCGGTTCATTCCTGCTGACCCCTTGCTGAAAATTTGTGTTTCCGCCCCACAAAGACTGAATCTGAATCTACATTTGAATGAGATCCCAGACGATTCTTATAGATCCCAGCTGTACAAGATCTTATTAAAATGTAGACTCTGGCTCAGTCTCTTTGGGGGGAAATAGAAATACTCAGTTGGGGTTGAACCCAAATGAACCAGTTCGAAGCCCTTGTTCTTACATTCTCTTTGTACGTTGTGTATTTGCAATGTGGGTAATTTACCTTGGGTGCCTTAACATTAGGATTTGGTGGCGTAGTGCCTAAGGCATTTGACTGCTAACCAGAAGGCTGGAAGTTCAAACCCACCAGCCACTCCTCAGAAGGAAGGTTGGGCAATCTACTTCTGTAGAGATACCACCTTGGAAATCCAAGGAGGAGGAGTATGAGCCGGATTCGACTCGATGGCAGTGAGTTTTAGTTACCTTGACATTTGATAGTGGGATGTTTTCTCCTTTCCACACCAGCTGTCCCCTCGAGTAACTCACTTCTTTTAGCTGTCTGCTTAATCAGACCATGCTGGGTGCAGCCTCTGCAGGTTGGCTTTTATGGCTGGAATCCTAATTGTCCTGGTTCTGAAGGAAAACTGGAAAGTCCAATCATTTCCAGGGTAAGTGGTCACCAGTTTGGCAGAGACTAGAGTTCTCCTGAGAGAAGAAATATTGTGCAAATTGGGCGTTTAAAGGAAAGTCAAGTCTGGGGTCTAAAATCTGTCCCATCACTCATCCATCCGTGTGTCCCAATGCAGGGGCCTGCATGTTGCTGTGAGGTGGAGGCTACACAACTTGCATTTCAAATACCAGCAGGTCACTAATGGTAGACAGATTTCAGCAGGGCTTCCAGACCAAGTAGGCCTGGTGATCACAACAAAGTACTGTCCTCTCGGGTGAAAAGCACTCAGCCTGCACAGTGGCTGTAACAGTACAGGGGCACTGAACAATGGAGGCGGGGCAGGACTGGGCAAGTGAGGAGTTGATGCCATGACAACAAACTACAACAACAGAGCATAGCACTCCTAGATGTGTGCTCTTCAATTCATTCCTTCCCATTAAGATTGTTTAAAACAAAGTCCCTGCAAAAAGGGCATGCAGGCACTGTCCTCATCTGACCTCTTCTAACCTCACAAGAGGGAGACAGAGTCACCATCAGCAGCCCAAGGCTGAGTCCTAAGAGGCCAGGCATGCCACCACCTTCCAGCCTTTTTACCAACTCTGACACCAGCCTTCCCTCCCACGGCACTCACTACTTCTCTGCTGGGTTCAATAGTTCATTACAATGACTACACACACCTCACAGACAATACTCACAATTATAGGGTTTCTTAGGGTAGTAACAAGCTACAATTCAGGTTCAGGAACACCCAGGACACAGTTCTTTGATTGGGACAATCTCCCCTCTGCTGTGCCCTCAGGTATGCTTCTCCTTGGTCCTTGGCCTCTTGTCCTGGCCTCTGCCCTGCTCAGGCAAGTTTTTCAAAGCTCTTTTAGCCCTGCCAACAGGTGCACCCCACTCCACCAGCAGGCTCCCTGCCCAAAGGCACTCAGCTTTCTTGCTCTGTGGGCTGGCAAGCCTGCTGCTCTGTCTCATGCCTCCTGGTTCCTCTGCTGGTCGCCTCTGCCATTCACCTCTGCCGTCTGTCTGCCAAGGAGGTCCAACTTCGGGATCGTGGATCCAAGGATGTGCTCCACTCCACCTCTGGCTTTTTTCTCTGTATGGCAGTGAGACCCCCTTTTCTGCCTCAAGGAAGGCTCATTTTAAGCCTAGCAGAATGACAAAACTAATCTATCCCCACATTAGACTTCTATATACTTTATTTGTATGGCCCCACCCCCAGAAGGGTGCCATGTACCTTATTTGCATTATTAGCAAGCTATCCAATTCCCTTGGTGGGCCACAATCACATTTACATAGCTCCACCCAGTCATCTGGTGGGAGTCACAAAGACCATGGCTGGGAGAGCCAGACCAAGTCATTCACTGCACCACAGTCCCTCATTTTGATACAGCATTCCTGAGGTTGATTACAATTACTTTGAGATTAAAACTAACTTTGGGTGTCATTAACATGCATGGCTCTGAGCATGGCTCTTGGGAGGTGAATGTGGTATCAAGGGGTGGAGTGTCAAGGGGTGGGAATGGAAGTAGATTGTCTTTATCCCGATCCCTTGTGGTCCATCTCTTAGGTACTCTGGGGTTGTTGCCTCTGTAGTTGTTGTGATATTTGGGGTTTTCTCTGAGATGTGTTGCTTTGTCTGTTGGTGTTAAATGGTGGCTTGTCTTGAAATCAATGAAAGTGCATCCTTGGTCTGCAATAAAAACAGGTGTGTGGGTGCCCTGAAGGCAGCTCAGGGCGTAGACACAATGACTGAGGTGGTGTCCTCAAAGCATTGTACTAAAAATCGAGGGGTGCTCCCATTTTCCCTCTCTTTGCAGGGGTGAAGCAATGTGCTGGCAGAAATAAATGCACTTCTCACCTTTATCCTAGCTCATGATGCCAGTACTTGCTGCTGTTTCCAGGCTATGGGGATATTGAGGGCACAGGGTCTGCCTGTGAACCGTGTCAAGTTCTATAACTCTGCTCCCCTGGGAGACTTTCTCCCTGATGAGTAATATGGTGCATGATGTAGAAACAAAGTCCAAGCTCTAGTGTCCACCAGCTGCAATCCCTGGGCAGAGGCTGGATGTCTCAGGGCCTCATTGTTCTCCTCTGTGAAATGGGGTGACAGGCAGACTTCTCAAGTGGTTGTGTTGCCAGCCGTGATAATCAGAGGTCCCAGAAGGGACTTGCCTGGTGCTTGTCATGTGTCAGGCAGACAAAGCACAGTGACCCTGATGGTTCCCGTTACCCACAGTGTTGTGATCACCCATAGTCACTAATGATTTGATCCAGGATTCCTGAAGTTGAGGTTTCTAATCAGAATAGGCAATGCATTTTATCAAGGTTTGGACATGTCTGAGTTTGCTGTTTTCATGGGTCACTGATGTCTTCTTACATGTTTTATCCTGGCAGGTGGGGAGGGGACTTGGGGACTGAGTAGCTGCTAGGAGCCTGGGGATACGCCGGGCGTTTTTCAGGAGGGTCTCCGTTGATCTCCACACTGCCATTCTGTCTTAGAGCAGAACCTGAGCTGGGGAGTTCAAACAGCTTAGTAGTGTCCTAGGGACTTCTTGCAGCCTCCTAGAGCTGCTGTTACAGAAACTCCACAAGTGGTGGCTTTCACAGACAGAAATGTTCTCACAGTTCAGGAGTCTAGAAGTCTGAGTTCCAGGCCCCCAATTTAAGGTGAAGGCTCTCTGTGTCCTTTCTGGGGGAAAATACTTGTCACAGCTTCCCTAGTGTTCTTCCCCATGCTCCTTGGAGCTCTCCACGCTGCGTGACATCTGTCTTTGCCTTTTTTGTGCTTGCTCCTCTGTGCTAATCTGCCCTGTTAGATCACAAAAGTGATTGGTTTAAGGTACACCTACACTGATAAAGGTCATATGAACATACCAAAGAAAACCTTATTCCAGAATGGGATTATACACACGGGTGTAGGGGTTAGGATTTACACTGACTTTTGGGGGACACAATTTGTTCTGGTCACCTCTGTGCTGCTCTAACAGAATATACTACAAATGGGATCGCTTTAACAACCAGGAGTTTATTCTTCTACATTTTGGAGGCTAGAAGTCCAAGTTCAAGGTGCCAGTTGTAGGTGCTGGGTGAAAGCCCCTCGACCTTGGGCTACAGCTCTGTCTCCTGCTTCTGGCCCACTGGAGCAGGAGGCTCTGCTTCACTCAGACAGCTGCTGGCTGCTGAGGCTGACAAGCCCAAGGTCAGCAAGTAATAAGGCATGATATTGATATTACCAAACCACAGGCCAGGCCACTAATTCAAGTCCTGATAAGGTCCCAAGATCGGGAGGGCATGCCAGGCTGCTGAACAACGACTCAACTATATGCAGGGTTCAAGCGTGCTTAAAAGCTAGAGACCTTCCTCAAAACTGCTTCTCGTACACTGGAAGCAGACCACATCCCTAAAGAAGCTACTCAGCTGCTTTTGGCAGGTTCCACCATGGAATTAAGTGTCAATCTCACTATGGGAAATAACTACATCCAGCTGCCCAGCCACTCGACCAGGCCCAGCCAAGCTGACATACGATGTTAACTACCACACAATTCAATCCATAAAAGGATTTGTTGTCAGTTCTGACTGACTTGTTCATTAGCAAACATTTACCTGTCAAATGACATATCCTGTGATATCCATCAAGGATTTCAAGATGAATTAGACACAATTCCTTCCTTAGAGGTTCTTAAAGTCCAAGGGGGAAGACAAGTTATACATATAGGTAGTTGCCAATGATCCCATCATCCCACCCACCCTGTTGTGAGTTGGTTCTGATATAAGGTGAATATTTCCTTTTTTTTTTTTTTTTAAGTTTTCATTATATTGCCTTTTATTACCAATATCTTTATAAATCCAGATTTTATTTGCCTTTGGGGGTTTGGAAGTTGTATGTAGCACATATTACTAACAAGATGTACAAAAATATCCCCAAAAACCAGATGGTCATAAGTGCCACTCATCATAACTTGAATACGTCCTAAGTCAGGGGCTTTCTGTGGCTAATTTAATGGATAAATCTTTGACCTAGGTGTGGGCAGGTTGCTGTGGCTTCAAAGAGGGAGGGAGGCAGAAGGCAACCAGGGAAGTCTGGGCACACAGCGCGGGAGAGCAAGGCTCCATGTGGAGTTGCGCATTCAGGACGAACAGGGTGTGTCTTAGGCCAGTATCTGATGGGAAGCCCAGGAGTTCCAGCTGGGGACCGCCACTCTGCCAGGGAGCTCCCAGGAAACCAGCCACTGTGCTGAAAATCCAGAACTTGTGATTCTCTCACAGGGTGAGCTCGAGACCTACTGGAGACACTCAAGACATGGTGTTTACCTCTGATTGAGATGAGGAAGTATGATGAGTTTCTTATCTGCCAACAGGGAGACGTGCTTTCTCAGAAGGCCACGTTTCCTTTGTGAAGCCAGCCTGTGTTTCAAGCTCAAGACCCATCAGAATAGCACTGAGTCATACGTGGATAGTAAGCAGAGTGTGGTTCAGACTGCAGCGAGCGCTGTCCACACTCACATAACACATGTGGATACTACAACACATTTGCCAGGACTGGGGGTTAAGGGTGCCTATGTGTGTACCAAGAAGGGCTTTTCTGATGAATAGCAGTGTTTCCTCGCTGTGGTGGTTAAATTTGTATGTCAACTTGGCTGGGCCTGGTTGAGTGACTGGGCAGCTGGTGGTAGTTATTCCCCATGATGAGACTGGCAGTCAACTCCATGGTGGAATCTACCACAAACAGCTGAGCAGCTGCCATTGGGATGTGGTCTGCTTCCTGTATATAAGGAGAAGCCTTGGGGGTAGTCTCTAGCTTATGGCGCACTTGGACCCTGCATGTAGCCATGTCATTCTTCAGCAGCCTGCATGCTCTGCCAACCTTGGGGCTTAAATGGACTTCAATGAATGGCATGCCATGCGGTTTGGTACCTTCGGGACTGTGCCATTTTATTTGCGAACCTTGGACTTGTTAGCCTCAGCAGCCAGTAGTTGCCTGAGTCAAGAGATGCCCCTAGCTTCAGTGGGCCAGAGTAAGAGGCAGAGCTGAAGCCCAAGGTCGAGGGGCTTCCACACAGCCCCTAGAGCCTGGCACTTTGAAGTTGGACTTAATGCATCCAAACTGTAAAAGAATAAACTTCTGTTCATTAAGGCATCCCATTTGTGGTATATTCTTGTCAGAGCGACACTAGGTAACCAGAACACCTGCTGATACCAACAGGCTGTGGAGAGACCGCCATCGTGGGCTGGGAAGGGCGGAGACCACTGGCTGGCTCTCCACTGCATGCTGTACTACCCAGCTGCAGCCTAGATTGAGAAAGGCACTCTCCTCATGGTTCTTGGACTTGGCTGAGGAATGTGAACTCATGCCAAGAATTGGAGAGGTTTCATGTGTTGTGATGTTCTGTGGAGCAATGGGGATTCAGAACTTGGTTGAAACAAAACCCACTTGCTGTCCAGACAGTCCCAGCTCACAGCGACCCCATGAGGGTCAGAGTAGAGCTGTGCTCAGTAGGGCTTCCAGTGGCTGAGTTTTCAAGGTAGATTGCCAGGCCTTTCTTCAGAGGTACTGCTGGGTGAACTTCCATCAGAGCCTTTCAGTTAGCAGCAAAGCGTGTTAACCTCTGCACCATCAGGGTCTAGAACTCCCTCGGTGCTGTCATCTGCCTTGCACACTGCTCGGTGGTTGGCTGACTCTTCTTGGGCTGTCCACGGAGATCTCCCTGCGCTCATGAGCAGATAAGCCACTACGTCAAAGCAGTGGGGTCCGGTGGCCTCAGAAGTTGCTCCGTTTTTCCTGAGGAGATTTTAACGCAGCAATGTGCCTCCCAGAATCCAGAACATCCCATCGTTGGAGTGGAATGTGTTTCAATGTCTGTGTTCAATAAGCCCCATGCAGCTGCATGGGGACTTTACTGACTACAGGAAGTGGGGCTGACTGAGTTCATTTTGGGAAGAATGCTAATCTGTTTTTAATGAACTATAATAACAAATGTAATTTTAAACATATGTTTGGAATACTTTAAGAATGTGTTGTCTTTTAATGTTGCATCCTTTTTACATGTCTATGGGGAAATTTTCACTTGGAGACACACGACCATTTAGACAGTGTCATCTTCTGAGGGCTGCCTTCTTGGGCATAGATGAAGAGGCTGTCTGCTGAGAGTGCTGTCACCCTGGGTGGGGTCTTTCTCCATTGCCTTTCCCACCTCTACACCTGCCCCAGGACCCTTGGTGGGGTCACTCTA